TATCTAAAAATACATATTTCCAATTCAAATGTTTACTGTCAATAATAGGTCTCAATATGAAATTGAAAATCTGGAGCATAATTGATTTGTAAAAATACTGATTATAACCTCGAATTACATCTAATTGATCATATGTGATCTTCAATTATCATTTTGTATTTCGAATCAACTATTAAATATTTACACTTTAGCCCCAAACTTTTGCTTTATTTCTATTTTCACCAATTTTCTTTCTTTTCTTCCAATTTCACTTATAAACATTGAGTCGTACCAAACAGATGAAACGTTACATAATTAAGTTATGAGATATCAAAATTAACAACAATTAGCTTCATTTAAGGTCCAAATAATTCTACAAGATAAACTTATCATGATGATTGAGTGATGTGTTTTTATGGCTCGTAAGTCTATAAATTGGGCCACTTAAATTAGTGCTGAACAACGAAATTGTCAAATCGTAAAATTGAATTGATACCCTTTTTTCAAATCATTAATTTAGGTCCACGTGGATTTGTCAATGTTTTGATATTGAACAAAACCAAACTTCTTCGAAGCATTTTGATTTATGTTTCAATATTTGTAAATTATTTCAAATCGTCAAACCTTTTACAAAATGAAAATTTAAAATAAATTAATTTAAATTTTATCCAACTCAATTAATATTAAACATATCCCAGTTAAAATGTTACATCCATATTAGATATAGAAAAAATAATGATTTTGGTTTTTAGAATCGATAATTATTTGGTTCTAGTTCTAGAACCAAGAACCAAGCTCAATGTTTTATTATTATTATTTTTTTTTTACAAAGTAGTAAATCTCCCAAAAAGTACCACTTTAAAAATCACAAGTGCGAAATGGACAAAAAGATCACTTACCATTACATTTTACCTATCACACAAGGTAGCTAAGCCGTATATCTAAATTTTAATTAATCTCTCTCCTTTTCAATTTTAGACACACACTCGCACTGCTCTACTTCAGTTACATCACATTTACTGAATGTTTGATATTTATTTTTTGATTTAAGTATATATTACTAACTTATGAATATGATGATAGATTTATTTTGCGTTTATAGTTTGAAAATTTAAGTAATGGAACTAGGGATGTCAACGAGTCGAGCCGAGTTGAAACTAGAAGCTCGGGCTTGGCTTGAGTAAAAATGGTGCAAGCTTTTTTTGGTTCTAGCCAAGTCGAGCTTTTGCTCGGCTAAAAAATCAAGGTTCAACCAGATCTTTCGGCACAAACCTTAGAGAGGCGAGCGGACTTGCTTTTTTTAATTTGTGATAAATCTAATATTATTTAAATAATTTAAAGTTTGTGAAATTTATACTAATTATAAATTAAATAAAAGTTACAACTCTCCTCATTTTTTGGGGTTTGGGACTAGCTACAATCAATGTAAACGGAGTTAAAATTGTACACGAATAAATATTTCGTGTATAATTTTTCTTGAAACAAATAAATTTAAAAATTATGTATTTTTTCGAATTACTACTGCCTGTTTATCTGCCTTTGGAACCAGAATTAGAACCAAACCAAACCAATTCAATTGAATGATTTGGTTTTGGTTTAGTTCCATATCTTAAAAAAAACATTTGTTACGTTATGACCAAAATTATTGACTAATGGTTCAATTCGATTCTTTTAAAAGCAAAACCAAATAGAACTATATTTACCCCTAATATTAGACACAACCTAATTAAACCCAATAGATAATTAGAAAATTACCCATCATAATTAATTAAATTAATCATATACACATGTCCATCAGTATTCAGTCATCACAATTGTGAATGTAAAACTCCCAAATTGAGTGAAATGTTGAACAACTACTGTTGAAATATATTCTTGGGTCGTCCATTACAGTTATGTAAACAATTGAAATTTGATTTTAATTTGAACCCGCATATTTTTCTTTCTTTCTACTAATAATTTTCTAAAATTTTGACTAGATTTTCAAGTCAACTTATCAAAATTTTCTTATTTTAGTAATTGTTTGTTATATTTTATTGGTAGTTGTTTTGTTCTATTTGTGTTGGGCTCCCTTAAATTTTTAGCGGGCAATACTTTTTGTTTATTTGCATCTCAATTCTGGTCGGGTCACTCAATTAATTATTTATTACATTTGAATGTAATTTCTAGATTTTATTGTTAATTGCTAGAATGATTTGGTGGATTACTTATATGGTCATTTTGACTATTTGACCAATGACCCTTTCTATGGTGGGAGTTGAATGCAAATAAGTACAAGATTTCCCCCCCAAAATGCTAAAGATATGTTGGTTATTCAAATATTCACAATTTTTTTGAGTTTGCATTCCTTACTAGTGTTCAGATTCTTGATTCATTTAAGAGTTCATTGAGTACAACTATGATTGAGGTGGTGATTTGTCCTAAAAATTGGTTGCATAATAACTATGAACCTATAGTAATTCTTCAATATTTGGATGAAGAAAAAGTTTTAGAATGATTCACAAAATGATATAGAATGTATTATTGTTTTTAATCTTTCTATTCATTTTTTTATTAGTTATTTTATGTCATTTAACTATAATCAATGAATTCACGAACTATATTTTTATTTTAATGGAGAGAATAGATCGTTTGTTAAAATTGCAGATGCTGAACCATTAATATCGACAAAGATATTAAAATATTTCTATCATGTTGTGCATTATAATAATTAGGATTATAGAACTTTAGATAGTAATATTTTTAACGATACTATTTACGTTTTAATGTGAAATTTTAGACTAATATTTATGATTTAACTTATTGGATATAAGTTATTTTTTTCTTTGTTAAGCTGTTGTTTTAAACCGAACCAAATAGAAAAAGTGGCTTATATTGATTTGATTTAGAAATTAAAATGGTTTGATTTGGTTGGAAAATATTTTAAACTACTTTAAGTGGTTTGGTTTAAAAACATTTCTCACATATCGTTAAACCAAATCGTGTTCACCCCTAACTCATATGATGACGATCTAATGCTAAATTTTGGATAACATGGTTAAAGTTCGACGTTACAAATATATTTTATTTTACGAAAGAGAGGAAAGAGCGTCTCTTTTACGTGGGTGGGTGCAGGGGAATTTTCACAAGCTCCCATGGCCACTTCCTCGTTGAATATCTTTTTTCCTGTATAAAACTATTGTAATGACCACTTGTATCTATCAAACAAAAAGATACTTATGGTGGTTGTGACTGCGGAAATTTACCAAATATTGAATAACCATACATATTGTTGAATGAAAATTACTTTATACATTAATTATTTAGAATCAGGTTTGTTCAGATGCCATATGACATTTAAAATCTTAAGCTAATTTCTCATAAATTTTCTTTGACGAGGACTCACCTCTATTCAAGACCGACGTTCAAATTAACCCACTTTATCCCAACTGGGGGAATCCAACAAAACAATTCATTTACTGGAAATAACCCTTCATAAATTGTGGAGGTTTACTCTAATACCAACTGTATTTTTGTTTACTTTGTTGAAAGTAAACACACCAAGTTCCTTAAATTTGAAAGTGCATCTTGAAAGTATGGTAATTGTGCATTTTTTTTCCCTTCAAATAATATCCTATTTGTCTCCTACGTTTGTACACACACGATTACTTTGTTGATCTGCCAAATCAATTTTCTAGTACGTTATATAAAAATTTAAAAAAAATAAAAATTGAATGTCACAAGAACCAATAATGTTGCATGTATTGAATATCCAAATATTGAAAATTTGTTTTTCATTATTTATTGCTAATGCATTTTATTCAATGTTGAGCATGTGAATAAAAATACCAATTTTCACTTGTGATAAATAAGTTGGGTGCTCGTGTTGATAATAACAATGTGACACAGCTTATATTTGGAACATAAAATAAAATTGTTTACAATCAATATATAAGGGTTGACACATTATATTGAAAGGTTGTAGTGTTAATTATTTCAATATTCGAATTTGCAATTTTGTATTATTGTAAAAATAGCGTCATGATAACTCTAGTACATTTGAAGTTTATTGAATTCATCACATGTCAAGTTTAATCTTATATCATGACCGTACGAAAAATTAAATTCAACTTGATTGTTAGGCGTTTCATCTAAATTCCTGGATAAGGTTGTACATAGTTTTTTCATGAGTTTAGTAGTTCTTTGATTACTAATGAGTGAGATCAATTTGTTGGATAAAATGTCTTGGTGAATTAGAAACATGAGAATGAGCAAAGTAGAGAGCAAGAATTTGTAACGAGAACCGTTGTCCTGAAAAATGGAATTGATGACTCATTAAATATATTCTATTGAACAATTATAAATCTAACTTCACTGTTTAGCGATGACTAAACCCAACATATATGATTAGTTCTCAGGACCATTGAAGAAAATGTTACTTAAGTTACTTAGAAATATTAAAAGGGATAAAGGTCATTTATGCATGTACCTAATTATTGGATCTTGAATAGGAATGAATTATATTTACAATAGGTTAGAGAAAAATATTACAAATATATTTTAGTTTTTGTGATGCTATATATTTTGAGAGTACAATCTTTTACTTTTAGTGAAAAAACAAACATTAAAAATTGAATTTGGTGATCTATGTTCAATTAGACATGATTTAGAGGGTATTTAGTGAGGATTATAATTAGATTATTTTAGTAGATTATGATAGAAATTTTTGAAATGAGTGGTTGAAAAGTTACGGGACTCATGAAACTTTTGATTAATATTAATTGTTTGACTTTGACTTATATTAAAATCAGATTTTAATCTACATCAAACAAGCTCTTAATTATCGAAACTTGGAAGATAATGTCCGAATAAATTACTTTTTTGTTTTCTTGATATTTTCTTGGTCTGTCTAGTGTAGAAATAGATTTTTGATTTAATTGAAAAGATGTCTACACCTCGAATATAGTTTTTAATCTTGAGAATACTATAAAATATTCGATACTATAAAATATTCGAAGGTTGGGAATGCCATGATCTTGAATTAAAACCCGAAATTTCTTGAATTAAAAAGTCGAAAGTTCGTGAATTCGAAGTCAATCAAGAAACTGAATATCGGATTTTAAATCTCTCCCTTTTTATGATAATATAAACGTGATTATTATTAGCATTTGAACTCACAAAAATTTCAAACCTGCTAGCACTGCCAGGATGAAGCTAATTCCATAACCTATCCCAAAGCTTAGCCAATTAAAGATTTTTCTCTTTGTTCCTTTCTGAAGGGTAGTTTCCGATTGACCACTGCAAGAGCGTGGCAAAAATTTACCACATAAACCGGGATTTCCTTCAAAGCTTGAATTGGGAAATGAGTCAAACTGGCCTCCAACGGGTATAGGACCATCAAGATTGTTGTAGGCAACATTGAAACTAGACAGAAAATAGAGATTCTTGAATGATGCAGGAATTTGACCAGAAAGATGGTTGCCAGAGAGGTCCAGTTTTTCCAAGTTAGTGAGATTAGATATTGTGTCAGGAATGCTGCCAGAGAAATTGTTGTTGCTGAGATCCAGGGCTGTTATAAACTTCAATTGGCCAATCTCAGTTGGGATGGTACCACTGATACTGTTACTCCTGATATATATTGCTGGTGGCAGGTAAGAGAGCTTTTTATATGGCAGATCGTAGTCATTATTAGGCTCAATATAGATAGGAAACTCTAAATAACTTTGGTCTACTTGATCTGTACTCCGTTTTGTGGTTAGTCTTCTTAGTCCTGCGAGTTCCACTGGGAATTGTCCTGAGAGAAGATTGCGGGACAAATGTAATTGGAAAAGGTTTGGAAGATCGCCAAACCAACCCGGAATGGAGCCTGTGATGTTGTTAAGCGATAGGTCTAGAACCTCCAGCTTGTTTAATTTAGATAACCACATTGGAATTTGACCAGTGAGTCTACAGCCACCTAAAGCCAGGACTTGGAGATTTTGGAACCCATCAGATCGTATCAAACTATCATCGTCAGGCAATGACTCATCATAAAAATTTAGTGGGAGTAATAATCGTCTGAGGTTCTTGCACCCTGATAGGATTTGTATTGCACTTGTGATATTGTTTAGGCTGTTATTAGAAAGGGATAAGAAAGACAGAGATGGTAACCCCATAATGCCAGGCGAAATCTCACCATTTAGTTTATTAACGGCCAGGCGAATTGCAGTCAGTTTGTTGCATGAATAAAGGCTTGCTGGCAATCTACCACTGAATAAATTATTCCCCAGGTCAATTGACCTAAGCTGAATGAATTTGGAGAAATCGAATGCAGAAAGTTCACCTTCAAGGAAGTTAAAACTTAAATCCAGCATCACAAGTCTTGCACAGTTTGCAAGAGATGGGGGCAGAGTGCTATTTAGTAGATTTTTACGAAGGAACAAGTTTTCCAGGTTGGAAAGCCGCCCAATATCTTGAGGAATGGTTCCTGTCAATTTATTATCATAGAGTGAAAGGATTCTAAGGTTAATGAGGTTAACAAGGCTTCCACTGATCGGACCATAGAGCGTATTGGCAGACAAGTACAGTTCTTGCAGTGATGAAACTGTGTAGATATCGCTAGGAACATCTCCAGATAGATTATTGAAACCTGCTCGTAGAAACTGCAAATTGGAACACTGCCCAAAACCTTCGGAAATCGGACCAAAAAAGAGATTTCGTGAGAAATCAAGATGCTGGATTGAGGCGGAAAATTCACAGATAGACGAAGGAATTGGACCGGAGAAGCTGTTGTTGCTGACGCTAAAGCTTTTCAGATTCACGGCCTGCTGGAAAAATGCATATTGGATAGTTCCCTGGAAGTGGTTACTGGATAAATTCACTGTTTTGACTGTACTCATCAGCTTATCAAAATCCGACAACTTTCCAGTTAGTCGATTTTCGCTCAAATCAACGACAACAAGGCGTTTTAAAGCCATAAAAAATCCGTCTGGAATAGGACCTGATAGCCTATTTTGCGAGAGATTGAATTGAGAGAGATGGCTGAGGTTTGCAACAGAAGGAGATATGCTTCCAACAAGTCCTCTTGATGGCAGCAACAGATGGATGACCCGATCATTATTATCACAACTGACACCTTCCCACATGCAACAATCGATGGAGTAAGACCAATTCAAAGGATTGGAACTGGAGACACCAAAGGAGAAGGCTAGAAGGGAGTCACGGTCAACTTTTCTGCATGTAGCTTGGCAGGGAAATATAAAGCTAGAAGGTCGTCCAAATAGTATAATAAACAGTAAATTATGAAAGAGGGAACTGAAAGAGAAGGCAATGGAATTGCCAAGTTGTTTTGTCATTGTTATATTTTAAGAGAGATTGGAGTGGATAGACTTTTTAATGGCCATGTAAATTGAGGAGGTACTTGCTTACATACACGAATATATAAGCAAATATTTTCTGAATTACTTATATTTTTAGATGACTTGGTTTAACACGTACGTTGACCCCAAGTTCCACATGTTGAAATTCCTTCCCAATGTGAACCTGCATGAGCATTGGCATCAACTTGTGGACTAAAAGGTTTTGCTGAATCAGCTCCACATATAAAGCACTGGTTCTTTGGTGTCCGTTAGTGATTGAATATATTCGAAGTAAAGCATCATTAACCTTATATTATGTGATGCTAAAAGAAACAATTTGCTTTTCATTTATTTAATCTCTAATCACTGTGACAAATTATACCGGCCACCATATTTTAAGAATCCATATGGACAAGAATATGTCCGACAGAGACCTTTGTTATTATGTCAGTGCTGTTAGATTGGAACCTTCTTAACTACTTTATCAATAGCATTTAAAAAACAAATTTACCATGTGGCGCCCTGTCACAGGGGCCGTGACTGGCCCGTTCATTTATCATTTCCCAAATAAAATTCAATTTACAGTCTATAATTAATATAATACTTTTTTCATTATAAAAAGTCAAGATGTGTATGGGCCACTGCTGTTACTACTATTATTAATATTATATTTGCGGATATATAATTGAGAAATGAGAAAAATAAAATATTTTAATTGTCCAGTTTAGGTAAGGCCAAATTTAAAGGTGGCCGCCGACCAAGTTTTTAGAGAATAAAATTTGATCGAATGATTTTCATTGAAAGTTGTGAAAAACAAAATCATTAGTATTATGGGCAACGCTGCAATAAATTACGAGTTATTCGAGAGATTAAATTGGTAATTGGAATCAAAATTTTGTTGTGCAACTTAAAATCAAGAATTTGATTAAAGCAATTGATTTCTCAATTTTAAAATTCAAAACGATACCAATTTTAAGTAGAATTGAAATGAACAAGCTACTTTGACTCGATTTTGAGTTAGATCCACGTGGTTCTCGATAAAAATACAAATTCGTAGTCAAATTTAAGATGAGCAGGAGACAATTTTCAGCTTCGTCACGCAAACTATTTGGTTACTTCCTCTGTTTTCGAAAAGCAAATGACTCACGGGGTGCCAAAAATCATCGAATTACATCCAGATGAAAGGGTAATATGAGGGACTTCAGAATTACAGTGACGTAGTTGCTTATTTTTTGAATCTAGCTGAGATCAATTATATGGTAACGTTTCTCCTAAAGTAGATGTCTACGCTTTTGGTGTCATCATGTATGAATTAATCTTAGCCAAGGAGGCCATAGTTATGGCAAACAGTTCCCTTGCTGAGTCAAAGGGCCATGTTGCCTTGGTAAGTTGTACAATTTCATGTTTTGAATAAAAAAAAAAGTGTTTCAAGATTTCTGTTTGTTCGGTTATTTAGATACCAAAGATACAATTGTGTCTTGTTTTCTTTTCATGGACTAATCCTTGGTGATTATAGTTTGAAGAAGTTCTTAATCAGCCAGATCCAAGTGATGATCTACGCAAACTCATTGACACTCTATCCTCAACCACGACCAAGCGTGAGATCTATCGTAGTTGCATTGATGACTCTTTCATCTACAACAGAAGACTGGGATGTCGCATCTTTCTATGGTGAGGCGCCACCCAAGAAAACATAAACATGTTGAAGCCCCACCCAAGAAAACCAGGCAGCACCACGACTCCACTCCTATGGCACTAAGGCACCACCTCCTATTAGCCAGGGCACTTTTTTTAGCCCATTTGAAGGCCATAAAAACTCTAAATTCAGCAAAAACACAGGGCGAAGTATAAATGCATGAATGGAGGCACTTTTGAGGAGTTCCACATATTGAGATACAAAGAACACAACTTGAGATTGATGAGAGCGATTAAAGGAGAAAAACTTCAAGATATCAAATGTTCAAGGCATTGATTGGAAGAAGAAGAAGATCTTGGTGCAACAATCATCCCTTTTTCTACATCCTTATTTAAAATCCGATATTGTACTCAATAAAAATATTTTATATTTCTTCTTATATTATGAGTAGCTCAAACATTGATTAAGACCAACAATATAATCTATTTGGGACCCTTATTTCTTTTATTCATTTGGCAGGTGTTTTGAATTTCTTTGGATTTTTCCCTATTGAGTTTGTGATTCTCGTTGGATTCTTTGAATTTGAACTAAACTTTGGCCTTGTGTATGCGTGTGTATGAATGCATGCATATATTCAAAATGGAATAAAAAAAAAAAATTCAAATTCATGCCACGAAAAAAATGTCCTTCATGTTTATGGTTGGTTACTGGCTGCAAACAGCCAAACTATAGGCAGGGACACTTCACTTCCCCACAAAAATTTTGAACTTTGAGCATTCAAAATAATAATTATGACGACGAAGACTACAATAATAATGAAAATAATAATTTGGTTAGTACTATCAATTGTAGTCACTCTTTATTAGAATATGTAATGGGTTACTCCGTCAATATCTTAACTATTTTTCGATATCTTGATCTGAATTGAGTGTTTGTGGATTGTTAACTTGTCATAATAAATTAATTTGAATGTTAAAAATTTTAATTCTTGTTAAGAAATGGATTAACAACTACCTAAGTAAGCCACTTGCACATTAATTTCTGAACTCAAACTACACTTCCGTGTTATTTCACTTTATTTCTGATTCTCATTTAGCATAGATGTCACAAAGTGTAACACTCCCACAAAAAGCTATGTGTAATCCCTATTTGAAGTTTTCACGACTATGCATCTCATAAAGAAAAAGTCTATCAAAATAAAGAGGGATACCACACATCCTATGACAATCTTAGTGTAGTACATTTGATATACGTATAACCAACCCATATTGTACAACCCATTTAAACTGTATTCAATAAATAAGTTCTTCATGAACGTGATAAAAAAATCGTCATTCTAATATATGCTTTGACATGTCCCCACAAAGTGACAAACCATCCATAGTATCCAACTGAAGAATTCCAAGTTTGCACAAGAACAATAAAAACATTCAACAGCAACAATGGAAATTATACCCCAAACGACTACTTGATTAAATCCCACCATCTAGTATTTTCACACTAGTGTTGCATAAGAAAATAAAACATTAGTTATAGTCTCTGGATCGCCACACCTCCTACATGAACTATTCACTCTATTAAATCCTTGAAACAGTTTAGCAAAATACTGCAAAGCATGGTGGGAAGGAAATATGCCAAAAGAATATCCTTGGCCTGGAGTTCAAAAATATTAAACAGCTTACTTCTCATGCCCTTGACAAGATAAACTATTCATCACTTATTTTTGGTCCCAAATTAAGACTCAACCTGCATCAAAAGCACAAGTAAAAATGAAAACTAGTAAATAACACCAGGATTTTTCAGCCTAAGCCCCGAAGGTTCAGTGACCATTGCAACACCAAATTCCATGTTGAGCATTCATTAAGGATTATGCGAATCCACTAGCATAAACTAAAATATAAGGCAAAAGCCACGATTACAAATTGAGTTTTCGTACAGAGAACACAAAACCAGGAAAAAAAAAACTCTCAATGTACAACATTCCCCTTTTGAACAATTTTCACAAAGAAAATAGAAGAATGAAATAAGAAAATGTTGAACAGAGGAATGTCAAAAAATGACGAAGAGTTTAGGCTTCTCTCTTGCCATAGAATGAGATGAGGCAATCCTTTTATATCACAGAAGCATCAAGTACTGCATTCAAGGAACCACATCAATACACGTGCCATTATTACAATAGAACTCAAGGCAATGTATAAAGCATGAATTCTGTTATAAATTTATCCTTGTTTTAGGAAATGCATTTCAGAGAAATATTGAACAGAGAAATGTCAAGAATCGTCAAAAATGTATTTTGAGTTTTATTTTATAAATTTATCCTTGTTTTAGGAAATGCATTTTCAAAGTACCAAATTGAACACATTTTCGGTATTTTGCAAAACTGAAAACAATTTGAAAACAGCAAATAAAACGCATCCTTATTGATAAGGGCCATTATTTTTATATAATTTTTGCAACACATTTGATCAAGATTTAATCTGAATAATAACATAATGCTGGTAAGTACTAATGATTAACTTAATTTTGGAAGGTTCCTACTGTCAGATCAAATAATTAAAAATACATTAGATCATCTAACCAAATGATCCAATGAATGTGATTAATTTTGAAAAAAAATCTTATTTTAGGGAAAGACACCAATAAAACCCTGTTTTGTGAACTTAAAATTTAAAAAATATAGTTTTAAATAGTATTTTTTTGAGAACTTGTGGTTAAAAAATAAGGAAAAATTATGAGTTTATGTCTAGAATACTTTATTGTGAGAATGTTGATTGAAAATGAATGTGAAACAAATTAACGTAAAGTAAAGGGAATGAAAATGGGGGGTATCTTTAAAAATGGCTTAGTCAAATCAACCAAATTCCAGTTTGACTCTTTGACAAACGAATATTGTCACAATGGCCTATTGAATGATGAAAGACGAAAATACCCTTAAATATATTATACAATTACAAAATATAGTTTTATTTAAAAGACATTTCTACCCTTTTAGTTAATAATTAAAGACCAAATACTTCCTACTTAAAACTTCAAAACCGGCTAACTTTTTTGTTCTGCTTATTACAACTCAGATAAAAACACTCTCATCTTTCATTTACTTCAACTTTAAGATCGAAATTTTTTATCGAACGCTAAAGCCGAATTTTTTTTATATCAATCATATCGGATCAGTGAGTATAAATACGAACATTTAATTTTGTTTTCGTTAAATTATTGTAAATTTTAATCGATAAATTTTATTTTGACATATAATGTTAATGTAGATAAATTTTTTAATCAATCTGTAATTTTTTTAAGCATTGACAAGAAAAAAAAATCATCTGCATATATAAAAACATAGTCGAACGACTGCTCAATAAAATAGTCATCTGGTTATTTAATGGCCGAACAGCCGGACACCCGGCTTTTTTTTGTATTTTTATTGTTATTGATTTTTTTTTATAATTAAAAATTCTGTTTCGTCATGAAGATATGGTTGTAGTACAAGTTTTTTATTTTGGTGATTTCGAATTGGACGAAAGAGATCAATGGGTATGAAAATGGACAAGTAATAGACATGGTGGTATCACGATTTCCATAACATCAAATACATCATATGTAGAACTTTATAATAATTTACAGAACAAGCTGAATGTTGATTCCTCTCAGTACGACATGGAACTAAGAATTAAATTCGGTGAGTATGCATCCATTTAGATTCCACCTATAAGAATTTCTTTTGATGTTGAAATGAATTATTTATTTGAATTGAACAAAATGCACATAACTCCTCTTTGCGTTACTTTAGTGAGGAATGATGTCATCGAAGGTGAACACGTAGACTTAGATGGAGGGGATCACAATGCTAATGATTATTGGGATACACTGGAGATAGCTTGTGATGATGATATGGTTATTCTAGAGACAGTTGCTCATAGAATTCCTTGCGTAGTTCATGACAACGAGAATGAAAATACTTTTAAATATAAGGATTTGATTACTTTATCCCATCAGAGACATGAGCGAGATGGGAACTCAGAGGCTGGATCGAGTGGACAGTTCTCTAACTCCTCACGTGTAGTTCTCGATAGTCATGATTTGTATATCAAGCAACTATTTGAAACGAAGAAAGATTTATAGAAAGCTGTGCACTTAATTGTCCTGAAATATAACTTTGAATTCAAAGTGAAAATATTGAACAAGTCATTGTTGACGATCGTTTGCATAGACGACAGTTGCTATGAAGATGGACACAAATGAGTGCTTTGTATTTCGCAAGTATACATGGAACATAATTATGAAGTGAAAATTCGTCGAAATGATCACAGGCAAGCCCAAGCTCGATTTATTGGTTGACAGATAATGTACAAGTATTGGGATTCACCAACAATCTACAGACTATTGGACATCATTAACGGTGCTCGTTGAGAGTACGAAGTAGTCATGAGCTACCAGAAAGCTTGGAAGGCCAAAGAATGCGTGTTGGAGGATTTAACAGACTCGACAGATGAAAGCTACGCTAAATTTGCCAGGTATTGCCATAACATGGAAAAAACTGATCCTGGCTCAACAATTTTTATTGAGACTGAGGGTGAGAATTTCTTCAAATTCTTCTTCATGGCTCTTGGACAATGCATTCGAGCCATGGACAATGCATTCGGGAATTTCGAAACGCTATGCGACCCCAAATTCTAGTCAATGGTAAAACTCTGAAATCTAGATATTAAGGCAAGTTGATTATTGCTACATGTCAAGATGCGAAAATCCAAATTTATTACCACATCTCATTGAATTGCGTGGTCCTAGACATTAAAATTCATCTAGAATATCATCTATTGGAGAATTTTCTTGACCGTTTAGGTGCAATAGGGCATACTCGTCAATTCTGTATAAGTCAGATTCCCCTATATGACAGGTAGACCAGTGTGTAATGATGTCGATCTGAAATGAACAATATTTACATTTATTTTACAATATTCAAAACTATATCGTAATTAAATAAACAATTATTTCATATAACAAAAAAAATTAAATTTACAAAAAGAATAATTACGAAGAATTGTACATACATTACAAAGAATAATTACAAAAAATTTAATGTCTGCATAAATTTTACATTATTTACAACTATTTCATAATTACAAAGAATAAATTTATGGATTACAATTAAATTCGTATAAATCGCACACTAATTTATTTCACCAAATCTGTATTCATAATTGGTTAATTCCATCAACCTTATTTGCTATGCTCAAAATTTCAATACACTTGATTGCGAATATCTAGTAGCTCCAACACAGTAGTAAAACTATCAGAACTACTGACCCAAGTAGCTTTCCTTGGCATCTGTCTCAACACTGCGTTCAGATGGTAATTAATCTTGTAAAAATTCAAATATTAGAATACTATACAAGAGATAATGGAATAAAACCTGATAACAGAAAATTAAGCGAACAAAATTGTAACTAATATACACAAGGCACAGATTCAATTTATACCAACACTAATGAAAAAATAAATGATTTACT